CGCTATGCGAAGCTAAGCTAAGCTAAGCTAGGCTAGGCTAAGCTAAGCTAAGCTAAGCTCAGCTAAACCAAGCTTAGCTAAGCTAAGCTAAGCTAATATTAGATAGGCTAAGCTGCTAAGCTAAGCTAAGCTAGGCTAGGCTAGGCAACATTAAGTTAGGCTGAGCTAAGCTAAGATGAGATCAGTTAAACTAAGCTAAGCTAAGCTTAGCTAAGCTTAGCTAAGCTAAGCTGGGTACACCCAGGGGGCGTAACTGGGGGAACCGCGGGGCGGATCCTGGGGGAACCGCCCGGGGCGGTTTGCACTGCCCGGCCCCTTAAGCTCACACGGTAAGAACCTTCTAGGCAGAGCCTAGGTAGGGGAATAGCCAAACATAAGCTAAGCTAAGATAAAGCTGGGGTAAGATGAAGCTAAGCTAAGGTAAGATGAAAGAAGCTAAGCTAAGATGAGATAAGCAACGCGAAGCTAAGGGAACGTCACTGGGGGAACCGCGGGGCGGATCCTGGGGGAACCGCCCGGGGCGGGTTCCACTGCCCGGCCCTTTAAGCCTCCGAGTAAGAACCCTTCTAGGCAGAGCCTAGGTAGGGAAAAAGTCAACGAATCGATACCAGGTACAAACAAACTCGACGTTCCGTTCTGGGCCCCAGAAAGGTCCCAGGAGGCCCATGTTATATACCCGACCGTATGTTGGATATCCCCCCTGGGTGTGCTGGAGCCATGTGTTTTTACATGTGCAGGCCATCAGGGAGGTATCCAACATGGTTGTCCCGAGCTGGAGCCACGTGTTTTCATGTGTCCAGGCCACCCAGGGGGTATCTAACATGGTGGTCCCGCACTTGAACCGCGTGTTCTTACGTGTCCAGGCCACCCAGGGGGGTATCAAACATGGTGGTCCTGCGCTGGAGCCATGTGTTTTCACGTGTCCAGGCCGCCCTGGGGGGTAGTAACATGGTGGTCCTGCGCTGGAGCAATGTGTTTTTACATGCCCAGGCCACCCAGGAGTGTATCTAACATGGTGGTCCCCGGCTGGAACCATATGTTTTTACGTGTCGAGGCCACCCAGGGCGGTATCTAACATGGTGGTTCATGGTGCTCCGTTTTGGAACCACAAATTTTCACGTGTCCAGGCCATCCAAGGGGGTATCTAGGACGGCGGTCCTCGCTGGAACCACGTGTTTTCACGTGTCCAGGCCAACCAGGGGGGTATCTAACATGGTTGTCCCGAGCTGGAACCACGTGTTTGAACGTGTCGAGGTCACCCATCAGGGGTATCTAACATGGTGGTCCTGCGCTGGGGCCACGTGTTGTCATGTGTCCAGGCCACCCATGGGGTATCTAACATGATCGACCCGAATGTCAGCCACTTGGTTTTTACGTGTCCAGGCCGCCCAGGGGGGGATTTACCATTGCGGAACCAGGTGCTTCAACGTGTCCAGGCCACCTAGGGGGTATCTAACATGGGCCTCCTGGGGTCTTCCTGAGGCGTGGAACGGACGTCGAACATGAAGATGCGTTGAGGATGTCTCGAGCGAGCCACTTGTTTTCACTTGCTCAGTTCGCCCAGGCGGATGTCTAGCATGAGGTGGTACGTCCATTGGCTCTTTCCGTAGCGCGTCCCGTTGGCACGTCCCGCGGTGCGTCCCCATGGCACCTCCCCTGGCACGTCGCCTGGCGCGTCCCTTGGGACGTTCCGCGGCGCGTCCTTCTAGCATGTCCCCTTGTCAAGTAGCTCTGGGGAAGCTACGATGTGCTCAGGCAGCTCGAGCTCAAGATTCAGATCAGTTCGGTCAGGACTCGGATGCAAAGAAGGACTCGATCCACAACACTATAGAGCACAATCGCGGCATGGCACATCACAGTTCAGCACGGCGTAGCACAGCACAGCCCTCGGCACGGTACATCAAGACCGATACATTCAGCATTGCATTGCCCGTCGCCCAATCAGGTGTCTTTGAAACGTTGCCATGCCTTACGTTTCTATATTCCTTTCCAGCTTCGTGGGTCGATCATGTTCGGAGGCGGTGGGTGGTGGGTCAGAGCCCTCATGGATGTTGGTTTGGCTTTCGTGGTTGGCTTCTCGGGGGAGTCTGGGAGGCAGTTTTGAGGCCTCTTGGGGGCTGTGTTGGGGACTCTTGGAGGCCTCTTGGGGCTCCTTGGGGTGCCTCTTGGGGGCTCCTTGCGGCCTCATGGGGGCCTCTTGGGATCTTCTTGTGGCCTGTTCGGTTCCCGGTCCCCGTCTTGGGCCCCTCTTGGGGTCGTTTTGGGGCCTTCTTGGGCCGTCTTGGGCGCCTCTTGGGCTGTCTTGGGGCCGTCGTGGGCCGTCTTGGGGCCCTCTTTGGCCGTCTTGGGGCCCTCTTGGGCTCTCTTAGGCCCATCTTGCGAGAATGTTGGGCCGTCTTGGGACGATGTTGGAGGCCTCTGGGGCAGTTCTGAACGCTGTGAACTCTCAAACGTCGTACATGTGAAAACGTACGTTTTACGAGGGAATTGGACGACTTTTGCCTGTTGGGGCCCTCTTGGAGAGCCTCTTGAGGCTCGAGGCTCCGTTGGGGCTTCTTAGCGACCTTGGGGGCCATCTGGAGGTCATCTTGAGCGTCTTGGAGCGACCTTTCGGCGACTTGGGGCCTCTTGGGCCTTGTAGGCGCTGGGGCTCTGGAGCGCCCTGGGGGAGTCGCCGGGGCATCGCCCGGGCATCGCCCGGGCCTCGCCCGGGCCTCGCCTGGGGTGCTCGTCCAGGGGTCCCCAGGTGCCGCCACGCCCGCGCGAATCAGAGAAAATGGTAGCCTGTTGCCAGAGATCTCAGCACGTCTCTGGCCCGCTGGGCCGGCGACTTCATCAGCTCTTTTCTCTGCCGCCTACGGACACGCAGCCTCATTCATTCACTCGATAGTTCTGCAGCTGCCTGCGGCAAATCCGCCACAGAGCCAACGAAGCACTCTTTACGGCGACCCTTCGAGCTCCGCCCTGGAGGCCGTCACAGGTGTGGTTCTACGGAGCCTCTCAGGAGCCTCTCGGGAGCCTCTAAGGAGCTTACCAAGAGCTTCTAGGGAGCTAGTAAGCAGCTTCTAAGGAGCTGCTAAGGAGCCTCTTTGGAGCCTCCAAGGAGCTGCTAAGGAGCCTGTCAGGAGCGTAGAAGAAGCCTCTGCGGAGCTTCGATCGAGAGGTTCTCTAAGGAGCTTCTAAGCAGCCTCCAAGGAGCTTCTAAGGAGCCTTTAAGGAGCTTCTCAGGAGTCTCTCAGGAGCTTTTAAGGATCCCTCAAGGAGCTTCGAAGGAGCATCTAAGGAGCTTCTAAGGATCCTCTCAGGAACCTCTAAGGAGTCTCTAATGGGCTTCGAAGGAGCCTCTACGGAGCATCTAAGGAGCTTCTAAGGAATTTGAGGAGCCTCGTAAGGAGCCTCGTAAGGAACCTCTAAGCTTGAACACCGGCTGACATTTGTACCAGTTGGTTGGGATTTGGGACCGAAATGGTTGGAGTCCGTCGGTTGGGATCTCTATCGGTTTCGGTTCGACCCTCCCCACCTGCAGCTCAGGTCGGGGCCCCCCCCCGTGGTGCGAGCCTCCCCCCTGCACAGGGGGGGGGGATGGGGGCGGGGCAGCTCGGCCCCCCTCCTCCCCTTGGAGGGGAGGGGACTGATGAGGGATGCCCACGTCCGGGGGGGTGTTCCCACCCCCGTTTCTCCACGGGTGCTAAATTTTTTATTTTGGGGGGCTCCGGGAGCGGTTCCAACGCGTCAGTGGATTCGTTCCAGGCGGGCGGCCACGAAACGCGTTCTCCCTGACAGCGGGACGCCAGTGCCACAGGACCCCGCACGGCGGAGGAGGTCAACACTGCAATTTGGTATCCGGCGGTGGGGGGCAGAAAGGGGGATACGCCAGAGCTCGACCTGAACGTTGTTTGGGCATTTGTGTGGACCATTTTCTTTCTTCAAGTGGCCTACGCCATTTCGCCGACCCCACAAGGAGTGAATCCTGAGACGATCATGGAAGTTATATCTTGGGTCAGGAGCATCCTGGATGAATGTGAGGGTCTGGTGGGATGTCTCTCTGGGGCCCGTGGGGTTCCTGGGGGCATGTGGGGGCGTCTTGGTCGCTTCTTGGGGCCTCTCGCAGGGCTCTCGGGAGCCTCCAGGGGGCTCGGGGGGCTATCTTGATGGGGAAGGCTCGACATGTCAGCTTGTATTCCTTTTCCTTGGGCTTTCTTGGGGCCCTGTTGGGGCCCTCCAGGGGCTGTCTCGGGCCGTCTTGGGGAGCCCCTGGGGCTGTCTCTCGGTCCTCTCGGGCAGCCTTGGGGCCTTCTTGGAGGCATCATGGGCCGTCTTGGGACGATCTTGGGAGCCACGTGGGCTGTCGTGTTCGCTGTCAAAACGTAAGATGCGATTGTGCTGAAAATGTATGTTAGTTTCCAAGGAGTGGGATGATTTTCGCCTCTTGGGGCCCTCCCGGCGATCCTCTGGAGGCGCCTATGGGCTGTCTCGGGGGCCTCGTGAGTCATCTTGAAGCAATCTTGGATCGTCGTGGGGCTACCCTGGGCCGTCATGACGCTCTCTTCGACTGTCTTGGCGCTCTGTCTTCGGAGGCCCTGGGGGTGCGTTGGCGAACTCGTGCCCGCGCCCTCCTTTTCCGTCCCCTAGAATCGCACTTTGGACCAAAAGGGAGGGGAAGAAGGGAGGGGGAAAGCCAAATGTCTCTCACGCCTTTTCACCTCTCGTAAGCGGGGATCGGCGGATTTCGTTTTGCAGCAAAAGGCGGAACGAAGGCAACACTTCGGGAAAACGGGCCCGAACCACACGGTTCAGGTCAAGCCTTGAGGGTCGGTGGGCTCTGGCCGCAAGTGGGGAGGCGGGTGTTCGCCCCAGGGAAGGTTTCTGCACAGTCTCTCGCAGACGGCAGGGTACGGTGGGGAGTGCTCCCGGGAGGCCTCGGACCCTCGAGTACTCTTTGTCTCGTGAGGGCGGATCAGTTGCCAATCCACGATTGGAGTGTCACGGGCTTCCAGACCATGGATTACTTCCAGACCATGGATTACTTTTCCGATGGCTCTGTATCCAAAGCCATCACCGTGAGCATTCCAGTACGCCCCGACGTGCCACAGGCACGCTGGTTGCTGGGGTGGTTCGGCACCTTGGAGATTTTCTGGGCCGTGGCCTTTGAGACGACGCTCCTGGGGTCGATGGCCCGTGCAGGCCTGCTCAGTGTTGCTTGGATGCAAGGGGCGTCTGGTGTGGGGGCGAAAGAGTTGGTCACCGAGTTGGACGTGACCTGCGTGACGGACCGGCCAACCGTCGAGTCTGAACATTATATGTTGATGTTCGCGTGCCACTGCGAGACCATCTTGGCTGATGAAGCCCGCGAGTTACAGGGCGTGGTGGGGTGTTACCACTAGGGTATTCGGCTACAGCGACCCACAAAAACTGGGGAAGCTTCGCTGCGCCAGGCATATCGCCCCGCCCTCCTTCCCTGCGGGCCACGCCCGCTGTTAAGGTCGTGCATGCGTGTTTTGTGCTGCCCTGACCTCCCGTCCCCACATAATATGTGGTGAGGAAATCCCTGTCTGAGGCAGTGATCTGATGCATGGCCAAATAGCTGCAATCAGCTCCGAGACGAATTCGTTCGATGGGGAAACCAGGGCAGAAACATGTTAATTTAATCGCTTCGCTCATTCCGCCGGCCCTGGAGCGCTAGTTGGGGCCTCTTAGGGCCGTCTTGGGGGCTTTGCGGGGGCTTCCCGGGAGCGTCTTGGGGGCTCGAGCGGCGTATTGGGCTCCCCCGGGGCCTCTTGGGGGGCTCTTGGGGGGCCCTTGGGGCGGGAGGGGGGCTAGTCGATTGCAGCCCCCCCCTCGGAGGCCACGATCCTCGTGAGGGGTGGCGAAAAATAGCCTCCCCTGGGGATCGCCCGGGACCCGGCCGGGGATCGGGAGGGGTATTTTTCGTCCGGGGCCCCCCAGGGGCCGCCCCGCGCGCGCGAACTAGAGATATTGTTAAGTAGTTACCGGAGATCTTGGCACGCCTCTGGCCCGTTGGGCGGGCGAATTGAGTTCCACATGGATTTCGTGGATCGGCGCTGGATCCCTTCCGCGGCGCGTGGAGGCGCCGCTAGGATGCTCCAGCGTGGATCCAAGAAGTCCGCGCGGACGTGCGAAAGGTTTAATGTATTTAGTTTTTGTTGTCCTCCATTCGTGAATTAACGTCGCTTACATTTTGATCAATTCTTTTGTTTACCAGCTCGAAAAGGTCGCCAGGCGGCTAAGAAAGAAGAGGAGAGCAGCAGGGGAGTAGGGGAGGAGGAGGAGGAGTACACGTCTGCCTCAGGGTCAAAGAAGCCTTGAGCCTAGAAGTATCAGACGATCAAAGGAGCGCGAACGCCATCTGCGTTTTGACGTCCACTCTCTCTTACCAGCTCGAGCAGGTGACCCTGCGACCAGTGCCTCGCGCAGGGCCGGCTGCGCAGCCGGCCCGCGCGCGGCAGGGCCGCCAGCCGCCGCATACAGCTGCGCCCCCGTGGCCACCCGGAGCGGGTCCGCCGTCCGCGCGGGCTGGCCGGCTCGTCGCGCCCGCCGGTCCGCCGCCCGCGCGGGCGTTACAGTGGCCTTACAGCTCGGAGCGCCGGCTGGCCTGCCGCCAGGCGGTGGGCCGTCCGCCTTTGTAGCTCGTAGCGCCAGCCGGGCCGCCGTCCGCGCGAGCCTGCGCTGCAGTTTGTCGCAGGCCGGCCTCGTCGACGACGTCCACCCAGGACGGCACGCGCGAGCCAGTGGTGCGGCATTTCGGCGTTCACGCGCGAGCTTTCGCCGACTGGCCACTGGGCCAGCGAAAGCACCGTCCTCGTAATTTTGCATTCCCATGCTGTGGGTGAGTATTTGCCTTTCTCGGTGGCGCGCACAAGCGGGTTTGGCGAGAGGTGGCATTCGAAGGAGGTCGGGGCGTTCGAAGGCAGGGGCCTTCTACGCAGGGCCTGGATGCGTCGAAGAAGCTCTTTCAGAAGTTTCCAGGCTCTTCTATCGGGCGACGAAATCTATACATATCCACTGCTCCCTGACCATGCCCATCTTGAACCCAGGAGCTGTGTATGCGCCCTCCTGGCCACGCCAGGAGGGCGTGGCGTATACACCGCTGCGGGGTTGAGGATGGGCCTGGCCAGGGAGCAGTGGATATGTATAGATTTCGTCGCCCTATTCTAGCAAGGACCCATTCCTTCTGAGAAGCTCCCGGCCTTCTTCGAAGGCCGCCCCCCTTCCGCCATCCCCTCGTGCGCACTGCCAGCTCTCCACGGGGGCCTTGGCGGTGCTCTGAGTTTCATAATTTGTTTGAGTTGTACCGACGAGGGCATGCACAGAACAAAGAACGCCAGGGGTAAGGGCGCAAGGACGGCGGGGGTGCATGGAGGGAGACGGGAATGGGAGGCAGGGAGGCAGGTTTCGGTGGCGCCAGGCAGTCGAGGCCGACCGCCCGGCGGCCCAGACAGAGGCGGCCAGCGCTACGGGGGGCGAGCGACGAGGGACGCGAGAAGAGCTGGCTGGGGGCAGCGTTGGTGGGCTCAGGGTGGGGGACGCATCGACCTCCCATCGCCCATTAGTCGCCGACAGGGGGCCTGCTGGCCCACTCCCGCCCAGGAACGCTCGTTTTGTCCCCCAGTGGGAGGCTATCGCCGATCTATCGGCGATACATCGCCGATTCCAAGTCGATGTCTCCCCCCCTGAGCCAGTCCCCCCTCTATCCTTCCTCTTTGAGGAGAGGGGGGCCAGGTCGTGGAGATGGCGACGCTTCGCATTTCGCGCTCTGTGAGTGAAGGGTTGTTCTTTCTTGAGTGGGCGGCGTGAGGTTTTGAATATGGACGGCCCTCGTAGTCTCGCGCCGCGCTGACGTGGCAGCGACCCGTGTGCGAGCGTTCAAGTTTTAACGCCGCCGGTGGCCCAGAATTGGCCGATTCTGACTGATCGTTCAAGGCAACACCACCGACGGCGCGATCGCAGCTTGAACCCGCCGTGCGGGGAGAGAGGAGCGAGCGTCGATGGCGAAGAGAGTAAGAGGTGCGGGTCCAGACTGGCGCCTGGCAGTGGAAGTGGCCCCGGCTTCGTGCTGCTCTGCTCGGGCGGAACAGTACGCACGACTCCCGGCTGGGGGTGGGGCGGCGGCGCGAGGGCGCGAGGTCGGGAGGGAGATGTACCACTGGCACGCTGCCATTGGTAGACTGTCGGCGTGTTGCTCGTCCGTTTTTGTCCTTACGCCTGGTGGTTCTCCAACAGTGGCACGCTGATGGTTCCCCCGATGAGTGTGACCGCGCAGCAGCGAGCGGGTGCGCGAAGGGGGGCAGCCGTGGAGGCCTGGGCCCAGTCGCTCCGTGGCCCCGCTCAGGAGAGAGAGAGCACCGGCCAGAATCCAGAGGCGTGGATTTGTCCATGACCACCGCCTGGGGGACCAGTCTTCGGGGACCTGGGGAGGCAGTGGATATGGACGTATTCGAGCCACCGCCTGGAGAGTGCTCCTCAGGTCGCCCCACCAGGCGGTAGTGATGGATAAGACCCCGCCTCGCGCGTGAGGCCGAGGAACAACGAAATTGCATACACGTGAGTTCTCGGAGGACATGCTGGATCGGCGCTGGGCTCCCCTTGGCGGCGCCTCTGGCGGTGCCCGTGGCGCGCTTCGCGAGTCAGGGAGGGCAGCGGGTCTAAGGAGCGCCGACCCGCCCAGATTTCGGCCCGTCGCCGTGCTGGCTCAAGCGCTTCCTGCAATTTCTTGCAGCCAGCCTGATCCGCGAGCACTCCCAGCCACATCCCAACCTGCCACCGATGACCTCGGCCACGGAGCGCATGGAACTCGCGGAGGTCGGCGGCGAGGCCAGCGGGTCGGAGCAGTTCTTGGTCCAGGACGCTCGCGCCCGGCGTTCGCCCTGGCGGGCGGCGGGTGGTGCAGGCGTGGCCGCCCTGCTCCTGGCCGGCGCAGGCGCGGGGGCAGCGCGCGTGGCGCTGCACGGGGCAGCCTCGGACACGGACCGCCTCCAGAGCAAGGTGCAGACGGTAGCCCTGCCGCCGCGCGACAAGTGCGCCAGCACGGACGACGACTGCTACAGCCTGGGGTGCTGCAACGTTGCGGGCCTGAACTGCTTCGAGACCAAGCCGGGGAAGGGCAAGTGCCTGAAGAATTGCACCCCCAGCGCCTCCCAGCTGTGCGTTCAGACGCAGCCGATCATGGACCCGATCCTCAAGGATGCCGACTGGTACGGCCCGTCATTGTACTGCTTCGCAGTGGTCATGCAGGACATCGGCAGCACAAAGAAGATGTACGACTTGGAGCTGCTCCAGGGAGCATACGGCAGGAAGACCAGCATCTTCGGGTGCGAGAATTGGGGAGTATTCAGCGACAAGGAGGGTGAGGTCGGGCCCGGCGCTCCGCTCGTGAAGCTGGAGGATGCCGACGGGGATTTCCATTTCGCGAAGAGAGAGGAGACCGGCACCTGGCTGAATACGGGCTTGCATTACCAGGCTTGGAAGGCAATTGGGGAAGCCGGCGTGTACAAGAGCGCCAACTGGGTCGTGAAGGTCGATCCAGACGCGGTGTTCGTGCCGAGCCGTTTGGTGTCTTACCTCTCTAGCAAGGTGGTCCCGGCCAACGGCCTCTACCTCGAGAATTGCAAAGGCGTGAAGTACGGGTGGTTCGGCAGTTTGGAGATCTTCTCGGCGGTGGCCTTCGAGACGCTCCTGGGGTCGATGGCCTCGTGCAAGGACACCGTCGATTGGAAAACGGGCATTGACGGAGGCAAGTACGGCCCCATGGGTGAGGATCTATTTGCACAGGTTTGCTTGGATACGAACGGCGTTTCCCGTGGAGAGGCATTCGGCACCAAGCTGGACGGAACTTGCGAGGCGGACCGGCCAACCGCCGAGAAGAAGAACAAGAAGTGGAAGCCCACGTGCGACGGCGAGAACTTCCCGGCGTACCACCCGCTGATGAAGCCCGAGGACTATATGGCGTGCTTGGATGCCACCACCAAAGCATTCGGCTACTGAGCGCCCTACAGGAGACAGTGAAGCTGCGGTGCGCCAGGCAGGGCGCCCTGTCCGCCTGCCTTCCGCGGCCCGCGCCCGCTTTTTTTAGTCGTGCAGGCATTTCGTCGCGCTGCCCTGGCCACTCCTCCCCACACAAAGCTGGTGTTGAGCTAAGATGTGTCTGAGGCAGCAGGCAGCCTGGCGCTGCTTAGTCATGGGAGTCCCCCATTCTCTTCCGGTTTGTTCTGACCGCCCCGAATGGCCAGCGAGAGCATCACCACCGTAGTTATGCAGTTCCCTCCGTGGATCAGCATCTGCTTTTCCACGGAGGCCTCTGCGGTGCTCTGAGCCTCACATGCATGTCTGTTTTCCCGCCCTGCATCGATGCGCCGAGGGCAACAAA